CCCGAAACCCTCTCCCCCCCCCCCCCCCGCCCCCAATTTGACTGTTTCATATTAATGGCCTCAAGAGTGTCTTGAGTAACTAGTTTGGCCAGCTATGTAAAATAAACTCACATGGAGGCATGCTCAATTATTGCTTTCTTTGTATGTAAACATTGCTTAATCTTTTCGTGCACAAATTATTATAACCTAGATTGGGATTTGTAGGGTTTTTTTTCCTTTTGGGGATTTGTTCATGTAGGAGGGAGTAACTTTTGAATAGCTGTCCATTGTGTTGACCACTGTCCCACAAGTTATTAATCTTGCAAGCATTTGCTATAATTTTGATATCTTAAGGTTATGAACAGCAGGCAGCGAACTAGTTTTCACAGACACACCACACTTAAGAGTTTTTCCTAGAAGTGTTTCTCATACAAATATTTACTGTAATTATGTCAACCGTCCTCCGAAAGCATAGTGTACGGCACGTTCCCAAATTGGGTTACAAGGCCGCGTATAAAGAAACTGTCGTAAACCAAGGACAACTGTTATGTCTCACCTTGACTATTGTAACATATTGCTCGTCATGGTTGTCCCATGTTTAGTATTAAAACGTCTGCAGTTATCCTGACAAGGATGGGGAAAGTTCAACCATATTACAGATACTGGACAACTTGCACTAGTTCGCCGTCTACTTGAGGTGCGATTTCAAAGTTTTGTGACTAATCAAGTGTTACAGACTAGCACATTCTCATCTCGATTTAGTGACATTGTACGTTTCGTCTCGAAACTGTCGTTCACAACATGATGGCTTTTGGTGATCCCGAGAGACAAAATGAAGTCAGCAGGTTAGAGAGCATTTTCTGTTCAGGCTCTAGTGATTTGGAATGCCCTACCCACAGAAATTAGAGCTGTTAACTCAGTAAGATAAGAAAGAAATGTTTTCTAATGTTGAATTCTCACACTACTATATTTAGCATAGTATAGCACCACATTATGCATTAAATTGTAAATTTGTATGCAGCGATGGATGTTTGAAAGTGCTCTATAAATACAGTTGAGTTGAGTAAATTGCCCACTCTGCATCCATGACAGCCTGGTCATTCTGGAAGGTGGATTCCCCTCATCTGCCACCTCTTCTCAAGATTTATTTTTCCCAGATGTTTTACCTTGCCCTCCTGTAGGGTTAAGATCATGGGATGTCCTTAATGTTTGTCAACTGCGGGTTTGTGTAGTCCTTTAAGACTTTAAGGGCTATGTAAATAAAATTGTCTCGGGCTGTATTGTCAGTAAAACTTATTGACAACTCAAAGAAAGACTATGACTCGTTCATCATAACACTACTAATCATCATGACAAGCATACGCTACATTGAGTAATATAAGAGATGAAACAAAACGTAAAAGTCGAGAGGGAAAATTGTCGACATTTAAAGGGTTTATAGATTACAACTCTGCTTCAAACTTTTGTTTTGACATTTCCCGAGTGTATCGGCCACTGACATGGACAAATGGTCAAAAGCAAACTAACTCCTTCCAACTTGGGTTAGAATCCATCAAACAGTAGAAGACTCAGTGAGAACATTTCAACATTGGAGCAGACATGAGTAGAGAGGAAGTATCCGGGAGAGTTGGTACTTTTAACTGACTTGAATTTGTAGTAGTTTCTTCCCACCTACCCAGCATCCTTTTAAAAACGCGCACGTGATTAACAAGGTCAATAAAGTCGGCTCTGTTATACGTACAATAAAAGCACAGGCACGCAAATTGAAACAAAGCACACGCGCGTGTCCGCGTAGCCGCTAGCTTCACGAAGCTAAGCACCGACGCTCTTTGTTCGCTTGGAGACGGGCTAGCAAGCTAAACGAACCACCAATTCGTCAACTTTTATCCCGAGCCTCTACATAAGGCCAAAGTTTGCGCCTCATACAAACTAAGCAACTTTACTCTGTTCTCTCGCTGGACCACACGTTAACGTTTCGAGATAATTAAGCTAACGTTACCTCCGCGTTAAGCTAACGCATACTTAATAAAGACATGTACGTAAAACAATACCGCGACAAGGAAAAGAAAAAAAAAAACTTCACAAACATTTTCAAGGCAATATAGTTTGTCGTGATAGAGGAAACGGATACGCGTGGTTTCGCAAAAAAGGTTACTTGTAATTTTCATAGAATGGAAAATAAATCATGTACCAGCTATTTCCTGATTCAGCAGCTCTCCGTCCGTGTCCGCTTTGATTGATGTGAACAAAAGAAGCTCGACACTGCTTCCGCATCACGTGGTCGCTGGCCCACACTCGCCACCATATACATTACACTACACAACACTACAGGATTGGCATCAGCTTTCTGCACGTTTACGCCGAGCGCATCATCCACCTATCCATCCATGCATCCATCTATCTATCATGGCATAAATCCTCTGATCACAGAAGATGCTTGAAAAAAAAACAGGCAAAAAGTAAAAGTACTGATTGAACTCCTAATGTGAAAGTAATAAAATATGGACTCTGAAATGTACTGAAAAAAAAGATTGTCACTGTCTCTCTCTATAAATGGTTCTGCCTTTTCTCTTTTCAACAGAGCAAGAATATTGAAACAATACTTATCTCAAATTACTCACAAATTTACTGACTTTGTCTGAAAATGTAGGCCTGTATAATTGATCACAAAACTGATATACTTTGCAAGAATCCATGACTTATGGCAACAGTTTTATTGTAACTTCTGACATTTCATGGAGAGTAATTTTATTATTTTCTCTGTCTCTATTCAATTGCTGCCATGGATTGATGAACAAGAAAATCATTGACTGGTGAAAGCAGCATGACATTTCAGACATTATTAAAGAAACGTGAATAAAGTAAGATAAGTAAATGTTCACACTGCAGCTCAATAGCATAGGGCGGGCGGTCCAGCTTGTTTTAGAAGTTTCCCTCTTCCAACACATCTCATTCAAATGAACAGCTCATCAGTAAGCTCTGTGAAATCCTGATAATGATCTTGAGCATTTGAATAGGTGGGTTGGAAGAGTGAAACTTCTAAATCAAGCAGCACTGCAGCTCTCTAGGACCGAAGTTGCCTACTCCAGACCTAGGCTATGAAACTGCATTAAAGACTGACAGTATTGCCAACTGTCAATATCGAATACCGCATTGCTGTATTGAAGATACCCGTTACTTACACTCCATTCCAACCTTAGTATACACTATAATCAAGTGCACAATATTCATGTACAAAAGGTCACCATAATCATGTTGGTGTTTGTCTTTTTTTACATTTTGTCATCCATCCCCTGCAAGCCTATTTTGATGGAATAGAAAGTACAAATATCTGTTCTCAAATGAAGGGGGTGAATGTAAACATTATGGGAAAATTAAATACCGGTGTTCAAGTTATGTACAGATACGTGAAAAATCAACTACCGGTACTTCTTACAACTACTACATATTTTAGAGTGATTTTTCAATCGTTAATCGTATAAACACATACAGTATAGAACTGCAAACAATGTGTTAAATCAGGGGCCTTTTATTTGCATTTGTCCACGTGAATGCAGTTTACAAAACCTCCATATGTCACAACCTGTCGGTCAAGCACTCAAACTCACTTCAACAAAATCTCATCTGACACCAAACCAAAATCACTGACGCTTCAATGACTTTTCAAAAACCTTGCCTGGAAGTTAGATGCTTGTTTACGACGAAGTCATAGTTGCATCAGAGAGGAACAAACAGTGATGTCACTGATATGTCAAAACTGACGGTTGTAGTTGTTACAGGGCAGAGAGACGGGAGAAGGCAGCTCAAAGTGAATGAGGTTGGGGCGTATCACATACTTAAATGTGTCAGTGCAATTATTTATATTTCATCCCTCAAACAAAATAATATTTTCCAAAACACGCAAACAGTCAAAACCTTGTTATAGTCACATCTCTCCATACTGTTGTATTTACATTTTTACCTATTCACAAACAATGTGGAAGACCTGCAGGATATGTACATCTGATACTATATACACAGTCAACTAGAGTAACAAAAATACATAGATGAAATTAAAACTATGTAATGCACATGTACTCTGTCTGATATTACGGCATGTGACTGAAGTAATCCCTTCTCTGGAGTTGATGAAACATGATCCGTCCATCCAATAATCTCCTACACTGCTTGACTTCATTAGAGACGTGGGTAAGCTGGAGCCCATACCGGCTGACTCTCGACATGATACGGGGGTAAACTCTGGACTGGTCGCCCGTCAATCCCAGGGCACATTATACTGGACATGTTCATTTGAGGAAGCTTCAGAAACTGCCCATCCATATTTAATCATGACTCAAGCAATAAGCAGTCTTCATTGTTACTGGCAGGTAACATGAGCTGTTGCTCATAGTATAGACTTTTGGCGTAGTTGATCTCTTGGGAGATTTTGAGGGCCAGAGTTTCACTCTTCACATGGACCTGTTGGTCAAGCATAAGGAGGATTAGAACACAAATAAGAATAGGCAGCAGGACTTGGACGAAGAATTGATATCTGGAAAAAGAGCTAGGCGATATGACGGTACATGTTTATATTGCAAAGGTGATCTATTGTGTCATTTTATCATCAGTTGTGACCTACAGTAAATGACTAGAAATAAGAAGAGACAGAGGAAGCTTGATTTGATGAACAAAACCTCTCCTCTTTCATCTATAACTGCTTCAGACAACAAAGTGTATGCAGAAAAGTGGTGAAGATTGCACGACTGTCTTGTGTCCTATGTGTTGTGTTGTGTTATTTTTGTTATTTTGACTTCAAAATGGCGCCGCGAGAGTGGCTGCCTTTCCAGCAGCTCCTATATTTTGTTGTTCTACTTCTTCCTTTCATAACTTTGCTGCTGTGAATTGGGAATTTCTCCATTGCGAGACTAATAAAGGTTTTCTTATCTTATCTTATCTTATCTTAAAAGCTTTCACTTATGCCACACAATTACCACCAGGTGGCAGACCAAACAATAACACGCAACATGATTTGTAATACATAGTCACCATAAACAACAAACTAGGGAGCAAAATCAAATCTAAAAGTCACTTAAAATAAATAAATAATAAGGTAAGTGAACGCAAATAATGAATTGTATTACTTTGGGGAAAGAATGAAGTAACCACAACAAACCTGTAATTATTAATAACAATTCCCCCCTGGCTTCAAACTACATAAGGTTGGCATAGCAGTTTGCCTCATTACAGGACTGAGAATCACAGATTTTTAAGTTTTTTAAGATAAGATAAGATAAGAAAACCTTTATTAGTCTCGCAATGGAGAAATTCCCAATTCACAGCAGCAAAGTTATGAATGGAAGAAGTAGAACAACAAAATATAGGAGCTGCTGGAAAATATTTAATTTAATAAAAAATTTTTCAGATAAATAAACAGCCATGACGTTCCAAAAAGCTTTGCAGAGACATATTTAAACATCAAAATAGCAGAGAATTTAATCAAGAGTTTGGAGAGCAAATGATGACAAAACTATGCAACAAAGTGTCCTGTTCCCAGTATTGTCTTACCATAGGCTTCTGATGGGAAGGGCCAGGGATGGCCACACCACTACTGGTGCTTTCAGCCTTTTTGGTGAGCTGCACATAGACTTTCCCATGATCTTTAGACACCAGACTGTGGTAGAGGTCGTCATATTTGATCTCCAGGAAAATAGCTTCACGGTCCACATGGTCTCCAGGCTTCAGGAAGTAGACCACTTTGGAGGAGATGAGCACACTGTAGCTGTCGATGGGTTCCACTGCAATGAAGCTGACGGCAGTCAAGGAAAAAAAAAGTGTGTGAAGGGAGGGAGCGGTGTATGTTAAAGTCATGGCGCATACAAGTCCAGTGAAGGCAAGTGACTTACAACTCAGACTGAATGTTGTCTGTCAAGTGGAAGAGCTGCTCCTGGCCATCAGCCTGTAAGGCTGAGTAGCGAGGTAGAAGACCCTGGGGACCTTTACAGCAGCGAGGTTTCCTGACACGCAACACGCTTAGCCTGAACAACACAGGACCAACACCACATGAAAAGGGAATCACAGTTGGACATATGTCAAAGACATGGAGGAATGTTATTTAAGTTATGTGTAAGGTTGATATCTCAGAAAGAGATCCAGATCGTGTTATAAACAGAATGATAACAAAACACACATGGTTCTCTGGTCCCCAAAAGGTTGTGACCTCCGGCGCCTTCCATCAGGAAGATCTGGCACTACATAATTACAATGAATTGGAGTGAAGGGAACTTAACACAGGTAAGCAGTTCCACCCACCTGTGGTTACTGAGACTTGCCATGTCCCGGACCGTCTGTGCTGTCTCTGAAGCAAAGTCCAGCGCTCCAGCCACTGGTTTGGTCACAGTGCCAACAAGACCTTTCCCCAGGCCAGAGAAAAAGCCGCTGACTCCACCCTCCGTCTTGACCCCCTCCACAGTTGAAGTTATGATACTTGTCATGCCACCTATGATACCTAAGAGATCACAAGAAGTCACCGAGATGCCTTTCTTTCACAGCACTTTTATGCTTCTTAATTACTTCAGCAAGGTTTCTCAGCCAACAAAATTCATTTAGAGGCCATTTAATTTTGATTTTAATGAAATTTAACGTCAATTAATATTTTGGCATGAATTCAGATACCATGAGTAATGACTAATATGCAAAAGAGAGGTTAGTACCATGAGCTAGTCCATGGATGCCTGCAACCAGATGCTCGCCACTGGTGGCTCCGTGGTATCTGATGTACTCTCGCTCCGTCTGGTGCCGGTTGTCCATGGTTTTCCCAAGCCCATCAGATAAAGTTCCTGCAAACTGAATGACGCATATGGGGAATATGTTACAAGTGTAATTTTATCCAGTTTTTTAATTATTTAGCTTTGCTCAATGTGTAAGAGACTAACGATTTAACAACACAGAAGCAGAGCTCGACGGCAATGTGAACTAAAGCTGTATAAAATACAAAGAGCTGCTGAAAGTAAACCGCTGAGTGAATATGTACCTTGGCAGCAGAGTTGGACACGCCGTGTGTCACGTTTCGTATGAGCCCACCCACGTTGCCATACTTGATGAGCTCCGATACGCCTTCAGAGACATCATTGAGAAGTCCAATTGGATTTCCGAGGAAGTCTACCGAGCCCAGGATCTGAGCTGCCTGGCTGATCAGCTCCTTTAGATACAAATACACATCATACTGTGTATTACACTTAGCGGCCACAAAATTATGATCACTTGCGCATCTAATGCAATCTAATATCAGCATTGCATAAAAAAAAAACAAAACAAAACAAAAAAACGATGGCTTTACAGAGA